TGATCTGCCAAGAGTTTTGATCAATACGATTGACAGAAGATATGTATAAACATTAAGATAATTTCACTCTCAATGTTAAAAATCAGCTCCATGGGTGTTCAAGACCCCTTGGAGGAGAAAGATAAGGTAGCAAAAAGCAGCATACCAGGAGTCTTTCTACATTACAAAGGGTGTGATAAACTTTATGAGAGGTTTTACCAATAAGGGTAGATTTCGTTTCTTTTTTTTTTTTTTTTGGAAGGGAGGGGAGCTAAAGCTTATATTATTTGGAGATTACTCTTTAGTTTTATTTTATTTTTAACTGAAAATAACAGTTGTATATATTTATGGGGTACAATGTGATGTTTTGATACATGTATACATTGTGGAATGATCAAATCATGCCAATATTAACATATCCATTAACCTCATATGTTTATTGTTTCTTTGCGGTGAGAACATTTAAAATCCCATCCTCTCAGCTATTTTGAAATATACAATATTATTATTAAAGTATAGTCCCCAGGCTGTATAATAGATCACCAGAACCTGTTCCTCCTAAATGAAACTTTGTATCCTTTGACCACCATCCCTCCTCTCCCCGTTCACCCTGCTCCCTTGGCCTCTGCTAACCACCATTCTACTCTCCATTTCTATGAGTTCAACTTCTTTAGATTCTAGACATAAAGAAGATCATGTCTCTCTGTGCCTGGCTTATTTCATTTAGCATAATGCCTGTGAAGTCTATCTAAAGTCTGTAAAAAATGACAAAATTTTCTGCTTTTTAAAGACTAAATAGAACTCCATTATGTATAGAGATGATATTTTTAAAATCCATTCATCTGTTGATGGACACTTTGATGGTTTTTAAATCTTGACTATTGTAAATAGTGCTACAGTGAACATAGGAATGCAGAAATCTCTTTGACATACTGACTTCAGTTCCTTTGGATATACACTCAGAAGTGGAATTGCTGGAACATGTGGTAGTTCATTCATAGTTTTTGAGGAATCTCCACACTGTTTTCCAAAATGGCTATGCTAATTTACATTCTCACCAACAGACTACCAGGGCTCCCTTTTCTTCACATCCTTGCCAACATTCATCTTTTGTCTTTTTTGTAGTAGCCATTCTAACAGGTATGAAGTGACATTGTGGTTTTAATTGGCATTTCTCTGATAATTCAAGATGTGGAACATTTTTTCATAGATTTGTTGGCCATTTTTATGCCTTGTTTTCAGAAACATCTATTCAAATCTTTGTCCATTTTTAATAGAACTATGTGTTGTTATTGCGTAGTTTGAGTTCCTGATACATTTTGGATATTAGCCCCTTCTTAATGTATGACTTGCAAATATTTTCTCCCAATCTGTGGATTTGCTGTGCAGAAGCTTTTTAGTTTGATGCAATCCCATGTATCTATTTTTGCTTTGATTGTGCTTTCAGGGTCATATCCAAGAAATTTTTGCCCATATCAATGTCATGGAGTTTTGCCCTGGAGGCATTCTAAAAAATGAATACAACATTACAAATACAAAATAAGATACAAGGTTCTTATTGAAAATGGCTCATGCAAGTGAGGGTCAATCTGCCCCTGCCCAACAACTGTGGGAAATGTAGAGATAAATCTATTAAAGCTCTAGGAGATTTAGGGGAAAATGATGTGCTTTTGAAAGTTTGGTGCTAGCTTCCGTCTCCATAGTGTCTACATTTTGAAAGCTCCATAGGACAAGACTGAGATTGGACTTGTTTCCAGGATGCTCTGAAGAGGGTAGTTTGTTTCAGTACCAGTAGCCCCAACATATCTCTTCAGGAGGAATTTTGATAAGTTCAAGGCCCATGTCCCAAAAGTTTTCCATGCTGATGAGCAGAGGACCACAATTCCTTGTTCACAGTCAGGTTATATCCTGATTCACACAGCCCTTACCTATTCCACTGTAAGTACCCCTGTAGTCACCATACTTCTTTTAGGTCATCTAAAAGGACATGCTAGGGTCTTTTGCAAAGTGTTTTGGTTCAAACTGAATGAAAACCTGCCTCTATGAACAGGATTTTTGGATGCCATCTAAAGCTCTTCACACTGATTTCCACAATTTATTGACATCCCCTAGACTTCTATTGCTTCCATATGGCATGATCAGGAACTATTTTACCTGTGGCTTATAAGATCAGATAAGCATCTTGGTCTTCACAAGTCAATCTAAAGCTTTAAGCAGAATGGAAATTTCTCTTGCCAAAACCAGATCCCTTATGGCTCAAATCCACTTTATCCATCCCTGGATAGAAGCTCCTATTACTGAAGCTCCTATTACTGGTCATATATATATATATATATGACCAGTAATAGGAGATTTAGTAATATATATATATATATATATATATATATATACACACACACACATATATATGTATATGTATATGTATACACACATATATGTATATATTTGCTTTATTTCAAATATCCTAGTGATGAAGCAAAATTCTGTATGTTTTCAACATCATCTTTGATAATGAATGGCCTTGTTAAGTTCTAAGTTTGATAATTTGGTTTCATCTCTCTGCTTCATCTCTTACTATGTGACCTTGAGTGAATTACTTAACCTCTCTGTGCTACAGTTTCCTAATCTAAATAAAGACACTATTAACAGTACATTTTTATAGACTAGTAATGATTAAGTGACATAATACATAAAATGCTATTAGTTGCTCTATCTGACACATACAGGAGCCAACAATAAGTGCAATGACAAAAATGGTGATAATTATGTCACTCCAGAGTTTTGTGACTGACTCCTTATTGGACCACATATACCTATTTATTGCTGTGGAACAGTTTACCCCAAATTTTAGTGGCTTAAAACAATACACATTTATATCTCACAATTTCTGTGTGCCGGGAACTGGGGAATGGCTTAGTTGGGCGTCTGGCTCAAGGTCTTTTCATGAGATTTCAACTGAGCCGTTGGCCACGCCTTCAGTCAGCTGAAGGCTTGGCTGGCACTGAAGGATCTGCCTCCAACAGGGCTCATTCACATGCTGTTAGCAAGAGACCTCAGTTCCCCACTGTGTGGTTCTCTCTTCATTGGGCTGCTTGAGTACCCTCAAAATTTGGCCACTAGCTTCCTCCAGAGCAAGCAACTCAAGAAAGATAGCAAAGAGGAAACTGTAACACCTTTATGGCCTAGTCACACACCATCCTTTCTGCCATATTCTGTTTATTGGAGGCAAGTCTTTAATTTCTGCCCACATTCAAGCTAAGGGGAATTAGTCTCTACATTCTTTTAGAAGGAGTGTCAGATAATTGGGTGACCACAGTTTTAAACCATCACTGTCCCCATGGGCTGGTTAGTCTTTTCCTGAAACTAATTGTGATCTTTATTATCTTTAACCCCAGTTATATGTAAAGTGAATTTTAAAACAAATGTTAGCCTGCCAAGTCCTGTTAATTTTTAATTATTTTTAACTCCCATTTACGTATATGCTATGAAACTTTCTTCCTCTAGTACTTCCTACCTCACCTCCTCTTTGATTTTCTCAGTTTCGGTGGTGATTGTAAGAGATTGTATTTACCCAGAAGATGTTCAATGACTATGCTTTACTTTAAAAAATATGGGAATGGGAGGTTTTTCTTTGCTACACCCATTTTTTCACCACATTCCACTGAGAAGGGAAGCTGAAAAGCTTTGAATTTGCTGTTTTTCAAGAAAGCAACTAAGCAACCACTAGGATATAACACTGTGTATTGTAATTGTCAGTTTGCATGGCTGTCTCTGCATTAAAGCAGCAGCACAGCATGGTTGCTAGGGGTACTCTAGCGTTAGTGTGGCTTCAAAGCCTGGTTTCATCACCCACTTCTTGGCTGCGTACCCTTGGGCGACTTATTTAACCTATCTCAGTTTTCTGTCTGAAAAATGGTGAAAGAGTCTTACCAACTGTCTTAGGTACTTTTATTAAAGTTACATGAAAATTAATTGACATGCCTGTAAAGAATTGAGAATAGAGTCTGACATCTAATAAACAATAAATATATGTTGTTTGTTATTTTATGAACAGACTGAAAACTCACTGAAATGCATCATAGTTTTTTGTTTTGTTTGGTGTTTGTTTTTGTGACACAGGGTTTCCCTCTGTTGTCCAGGCTGGAGTGCAGTGGCAGGATCTCAGCTCACTGCAAACTTGACCTCTCAGGTTCAAGCAATTCTCATACCTCTCAGCCTCCTAAGTAGCTGGGATCACAGACATGAGCCACTATGCCTGGCTAATTTATTTTTTTTTAAGGTGAGGTTTCACTATGTTACCTAGGCTGGTCTTGAACTCCTGGGCTCATGGGATCCTCCTGCCTCAACCTCCCAAAGTGCTGAGATTACATGATGAACCACTACATCCAGCCTTGAAATGAATCATGTTTATCTTTCCAACCTCCCTCTTCCCGTTTGCCTATCTTCACATAGATAGCACATGACAGATTAATCTCATCCATCTCGGAAGATCAGGAGATCTGGCCAGGACATAATGGTCAGACATAATGGGACCTGAAAGTCTAGATGAGATGAGATAGTAAAATATGTATAATTGGTAGAGTGTAGCCTGACTTATCTCCAGAGGGAAAGGAGAGAGACAGGGAGTCGGGAGACCTGGTACAAACTCCAAATCCAAAGTATAAGAGCAGGAGCATAAATGAGAAATAAGGTCAAGAACCAGCACATAGAAGAAATGGCATGAAATATAAACTCATCATCTCAGGCTTATGGGTGAGCTTTATGCCAGGAATAAAGATGGGCCCAAATGTCTGTCGATAAACACATACGGATCAAGCGATGGACACCAAAGACAAATATTGGCATGCACCAGATGATCAATACATAACAGGTTTCTATTTACTGTTACTTCCTTTACAGGAAAATAACAATTTTGTTGTTGGAAAGAACTCTAAATTGAGGGGAAAAAAATGCTATAATTTATTAATACATATACTTTAAAAAGAGTAAATCTGTTTATTCTTTCCTGTTTCATTCATTAGATCCCCTCAGCAGAGTGTGTTTAAGACCAAAAAATGTAACCGATTCATTGAGCACCTACATTAATGCTAATTATATTAGGGTAAGTAAATTAGTACAGATTTCTTTCTGGTGACTTGCTATTTGGAACTGTTGGTTTTATTTTGTTTTTCCTGGAGTAGATTAAGTTTGGTTTAACTTGATTACCAGCAAGATTTTGTTTTGTTTTTTTATCTTAGTCATAATCAACATGGGTAATAGGTCCTTCATGATGACTTTCCTTTTACTGCTGGTCTCTGGCAACAGTGCTCTATCTATCTGGGCATTCTGCTGGGGACTGGGCATTACAACCCTCAATACCATATGCTGTCCTTAACTTGCTACCAAAATAGCCGTGGAAATTGTTGTACTAAAATCAATGAAGCTGTAATCGGTGTTGCTTTTGTACTAGCACAATTATTTTGTTGAAGATCTTTCACCTAAATTTTCACTGCAAGGCACGAACTTAAAAACCAATAATTTTGTCTCCCTACTCCATCTAGGGCTACAGCGGCAAGGAGAAAGCATTCATTGCCACGCAGGGCCCCATGATCAACACCGTGGATGATTTCTGGCAGATGGTTTGGCAGGAAGACAGCCCTGTGATTGTTATGATCACAAAACTCAAAGAAAAAAATGAGGTATGATCTTTAATCAAGTTCTGAATGTTATACGTGTTCTGTTGCTATAGAAGAGACATTGTATAAGTAAAATTGCCAGACTCAGATTTAAGATGGAAACTTTGAGACATTTAAAGGCTAAGTCACTTAATACATCCCAAATAAAACTGCTGATATCCTATGAATGTCAACTTTCTTTCAGGCAAGTCAATATACTTGGTATACACATATCTAATTTGTACCCTAAAAAGAAATAAGGGGCCATGAATTAGCACCCTAATTTATGGACAGGTAAATAAAAACTTATTTGCTCACACCCTGAATCATTTTTGAGCACATACTATGTGACAGGCACTACTCTAGTCATTGGGGATATAATAGTAAACAAAACACACCAAGGTCCCTGCCCTGGGTAGATTTTAGCTTTCTAGAGGGAGAAGACAGACAAAAAACACTACGCATAATAAACTTTTAAATAGTATAACATATTAGAAGATACGAAATGCTATAGGAAAAAAGTGGAGCAGACTAAGGAGAATGGCACACCAGGCAGTAAGGAGGGGGTCATGGGGAACTGCAGACTGCAGTATTAAAGAGGGTGGGCAAGGTGAGCCTCATTAAGAAAGTGAGATTTGAGGGCAAGAACAGAAACCAATAAACTTTCTCAATATCTTCATAGTAAGAAATCCAAGAAAGAATTTGATTTCCTTTCCATACTAGTAGTCTTTTCTTTTTTTAATTTTGTTATTATACTTTAAGTTCTGGGGTACATGTGCAGAACCTGCAGGTTTGTTACATAGATATAGACGTGCCATGGTGGTTTGCTGCATCCATCACCCCCTCATCTACATTAGGTATTTTACCTAATGCTATCCCTCCTATATCCCCCCACCCCCGGCTATCCCTCCCCTAGGCCCCCAGCCCCTGACAGGCCCCGGTGTGTGATGCTCCCCTTCCTGTGCCTGTGTATTCTCATTGTTCAACATCCACTTCTGAGTGAGAACATGCGGTGTTTGGTTTTCTGTTCTTGTATAGCAGTCTTTTCTAAGGATTTAGCTTGCAGAATACTTGTTCTGTATTTTGCATTATAAAAATACGATGGTGATATTCCTGAGGGCTGATTTCTGTGGCACTGCTTACATTTTAGGACAGCTTACTACGATAATTTAGCGTCTCATTTTCATCAGCATTTTTGTGTTCACCATGACAGTAAGAATTTAAGAAAACAGCACTCCTTTATACGCCTTTGGTGATTATAACCCTTGAGTACAGTATAATCCTGCTGCTAATGGACATCACTGAGGCTTACTAAACAGCAGTTTATACATGTTTCAAAGTTTGTTATTTTCTTCTATTTTTGCTACAATAGGTGAAACATTTTTTTCCTGAAATTTATTCTGGAAAAGTAGTATATTTTTGGCCAATAGATAAAGTTATATACTCAGTTCACTACATGACTTACTAACTAATCACACTTCTATGAATCTGACATGAAAGCCTGAGGTGGCGTTATAAAAACAACCCCTAATATTCTCAGCTGTTTTCCGCACAGTGTCAATCTGTCAACATATTAAGTCACTGACAGTTCCCTCACAATTGTTTAATATACATGACGTTTTTATGATAGAAAAGATTTTTCAAGTTTAAAAGGTATATTCTCTGCATGTATAGATTTGTGCATCCCTACGAACTTACATGATATGGCAGACTGGATAACCTGAGAAACTTCCCACTACAAAACCATTTATACTGTGCAGAATGTGAAACATTGTGCAAAGCAGAGCTTTAACAGTAAAGGAAATCCCAGGGGTTAATAAAAAGAGACTAAAAGGCATAAAACCAGAAAATTAAAGATATTGTAATGGTAAGACAAGAACTAGAGACAAAGCCTGATTTTGCCGGAGCCAGGTGTTGGAACTGAGACCTTACATAAAGAGAGCACCTTCAAAGGCAATACCTTCCGTAAAAAAGCAAACCACAAAAATAAGTCTACCTACTAAAATAGGACGATGCTGAGAAATTCATCTGTCTAAGTCTGGCCTTCTTATGACATAAACAAAAGGCTCTCTTGAGTATGTAAAGCTGAGAAACCTCAGAATTCAAAAATTAAGAAACACCAAGTGAAGACATTAGCATAAAAAGTAATACCAGGTTGGTAACGTCCTATGATACTTTACATAAACAAAGGCAAACACTTTCCGATGCACATATTCTTAGCTTATTCCTCACAGATTTCCATAGAAAAGCCCAGCCAGGGCAAAGCGAGAGGGCTGACTAGAGAAGCCGAATGCTCATACTTCCCACCAAAAAGGGCCAAAACAACAGACTAAAAAGTACGTTTGGACTGGAGTGTTTGAGGGAGTGCACTGTAATAGCTCAGGGGAGAGACCAAAAATCTGTGGGACAAGGGGACCTTTAGGGAGTGTCACGCAGAGAAGAGAATGAAACACCCTGCCTCTGCCACACTACCATCTTCCCAGCTGGGATTAGCTCAGAACAAGGAGACGCATCCTCAGTGAGGACTAGGCAAGCAAGAGGCCCCAACAGCCCCCACTAATGTTGCAGATACCTGCACTCTTTGTTGCTGAGAATCCTGCAGTTCCTACAGGCCCTGAGTCCAGTTTGGGAAGCTGCCCGACAGCCACATGGCTGCACTGCCCCAAAGAAGGAGCCCATGTTGTATCCCCTCACCCCTGTGACCCAAGTTGCAGCTATGTGATGCCATTTTAAAACCAGAGCCACAAATAGAGTACCTCCTGTTCCAGGAGCCAGTAGCCACGGTCTCTTTTCATTCCTGAGCCTACACTGCCATTACACTACCTTCACTCTCACGGTAGTACACCATCCCCTTGCTGAGCGGCTATAGCTCCCTACCCCCTGGAAACAGGCTGCCTAGGAGGTGTTCCACCTTTCACATCCTAATGTCTGCAGCACCTTGAACCCTGTGTTTCAGAGCCTAGATCCAGTGCCCCATCCTTGGAGCCCACAGAGCACCTTGCCTTCAAAAGGAACAGACAATCTTGCTCAGCAGAGAAATCAAGTCCATACTGGCCTCATGCACAGTCAGCATACTCATCAGCCAACAGCCCCATTCCAAAGGGAGCCCCACCCAAACCAGTGGGCCAGCCCCTGCATGCCCCTGGTACACTCAACAGTTGGGTGCACTACTTCTAAGGATGCCCCAACCTGAGCTGGCAGACCTGTCCATATATGCCACCAGTGAGCTCCCAGCTGGACATGGCCTTTTCAGGGGACTTTTGCCTTGAGTTGGCAAGCCAGGCCCCATGCTTGCCAGCCAAGTACACTGCCTCCAAAGGAGCACTAACCCAAGCTGGCAGACTAGCTGCTGCATGCTCACCAGCCATGTATGCATCTCACAGTGGGCCCCCACATTAACCAGTGGACAAAATACTGCATGTTCTCACTCATAAGTGGGTGTTGAACAGTGAGAACACATGGACACAGGGAAGAGAATATCACACACTGGGGCCTAGCGAGGGTAGGGGTGCTAGAAGAGGGATAGCAGGGGGTGGGGATAGGGGAGAGACAGCATTAGGAAAAATACCTAATGCAGATGACGGGCTGATGGGTGCAGCAATCCATCATAGCTCATGTATACCTATGCAACAAACCTGCACATTATGCACATGTACCCCAGAACTTGAAGTATAATTTAAAAATTAATAAATTTAAAAAAAAATAAAAAAACCTCAGCAAACATAAGCTTACAATCAAAATTATGAGGCACACAAGTAAACAATAAGACACTGTGAGAAAATATCAGAAGCAGCAACAATTAATAGAAATAAATTCATGGAAATTAAAATAATTGAAATGACAAATGTAGGCTACTTTTTAAAATTATTAAGCACAAAAAAATAAAAATTTGACACAGGAACAAGTTACTATCAAAAAAGACTAGGAAGATTTGAAACAAACCAACGAAGACTAGAAATAAACATTATAATGACATTAAAGTTTTTAAAAGTCTTGTTAGATAGGTTTAGCATCAAACAAGACATAGCTAAATGAATAATGAATGGATTTGAATATAAAGCTAAGGAAAATATCTAGAAGATCAAAATGACCAAAATATAGGAGTGTTTAAGAGACATAGAGGATAGCATTTGATGTCCAATATACCATAACAGGTGTTTTAGAAGGAGAAGGAAGAGAATATGAGAAGGAATATTTGAAGAAATAATAGCTAGAGATTTTCCAAAGCTGATGGTAGACTTGAGCTCTAAGAGGTAAAAAGCACAATAAATCCTAGGGTGAATGGGTAAATAGAAATTCACAGCTAGACACCTCTCAGGAGCTGAAAAAGCACCAAAAGAAATGAATTACTCACACCAGAGTAACCAAAAAAAAAAGAAGAGGAGGGGGACTTTTCTATAGCAAAAATAGAAGCCAAAAGTCAGTCGAATATTACCGACAAAGAACTGAAAGAAAATACTCGACTACCCAGAACTTTATATCCAACAAATCTATCCTACAGGGAAGGTGTGAAAGACATTTTCAAACTAACAAAAATGGAAAGAATTTACCACCAAAAAAATCTTACCAAAAGAACTACAAGGGAAGATATAACAGAATGAAGAAGATTCAATCCAGAAAAAAGTACTCAAATATAAGAAATAATAATGAGCAAAGAAAGTAAAATATGAAGGTGAAACTAAAATACTGGATAATGATAGTATTTAAAATTTGAGAAGATGAAGAAAGTTAAAATATTTCTGTGTTATTCATGAAAACAGAAATTTAAGCTAAGGTTAGCCTTTAAGGTAAATATGCATGTTAAAATTTTAAGATTAGTCACTAAAAGGATGGAATTAGAATGTATAATTTCCAATCCTGCAAAAGAGGGAAAAGACAGAATTTCAAAAATAAACTAAAATAAAAGAGAAAACAAAAGGTAACATGGAAAAATCAGGATAAACTTTTAGCTAATTGAGAGAGAAAAAAATGCAAATCATACTAAATATAAACAAATAACTTGCAAATTAAATACGAGATTACCA